TCTACATGCATCGATAACATTCACAAGAAAGAATAAATTTCAAGTCAGCTGGAATAATCAGTAGCAAATGTTAGCTCAGCAAAGGTTGATCTACAGGATGACATATTATATGATATACTAAATGACACCATGCATCAGATAGCCAGTATCAACTAAAGATTTGGCAGGTGATCAGCTAAATACAGCACATTGGTTGAGAAAGTACATGTACCAGTGCTGTAATTACTCTATTAGAAGTGCATCTCTAATAAAATCAATTCTGTAATTTACTTAAAGGTGAACCGCTCAATCCCATGGATTGCACCAAAGAATCATGGGACACTATTGTTTATGTTGTTTATAAAGTTAATCGATCTTTTGTTATCCATTGTAATTTTAATCCAGAAAGTAAATTTGTTGTGAGATTAGGGCTTAAGTGGAAGTGCCCCTTTAAGTGCAAGTGCTACTAACAAAAAAATAAAGTACCGTATTTGCTCCAGTAGAAGCGCATGTAAACCAACATTTGCATAAACTGAATATTGGATCATTAAAATATGACATTATGACCATAGAAACTCCTTGGGCATTTATGTGAAGCACATGTACTACTAACATAAATAGAGTCAATACAGCAATATGATGCAATATTTATAAATGCCAGGCTAGCAACACGTCATAAATTTAGTGCCAGGTTAAGCCATGAGCTAAACAGAATCCACTGATGGTACTTTGATGAAGCATCTTGAGCCTACTCAATTCTGATAATATTGTCAAAATGCAAACAGTTTGCTACAAGGCACAAGTACTACAATCTGTCTGAGAAAATACTAAAGAAATAGATACATTGGCATGTAACAGATCTCCAACAGGTACGCAAGGCATCTAGATTGCAAATGTAAACAGAAAAATGATATCATTTAATTATCAGGACAGTGCAATCCCAATGTATATTTGTATGCATAACAAGGGTATATGCACAGTATAGACAGAGTGGATTTCACATCAACACAGTATGATGTTACATAAACAGTTTTCAGTCTGCTCACTACCAGAAACTCAGACAACCATAGGGTTCAATAGCTACAGGTACCTAATCTACACATTGACAAAGTAATGGGAGAAGGAGGCGGAGGAGGAGGAGAAGAAATGATGGCAAAAGTGTAATCCTAAACCAGTAAATAATTTACTATTATCTAACATATATTCTCTATACCGAGGATATTAGTAATGCATATACATGCAGACAGAGACAGAGGTGTGCCTGAGGTAAAATATATTTATTTTTGGTTCATGTGCCCTTCTACTGTCATTGCTTATCAGTTTATTATGATCATGTGGCATTAATGTGTTAGTGTAAAATACTTAATTTTTGCTGGAATTAATTTTTGCTGAAAAGACAATTTAGGGCAACAGTACTGTGAAATACTTTAATTTTTATTCACTTCTAATAGAGAAAATATAATATTTTGAATTTTCAGGGTAAAGCAATAGTAGCATTCAAGTACACTTAATTATATCATGACTGTTGTACAAAAAAAACATTGTTATTTTATGTTCATACTGAAATTCTTTGTGTACTACATATTGTAGTACCCATGCTACATGCAGAACAATTTAATGCAATAACACCTTAATCTTAGGATTACATCATTGTTCATACTCATTACATATTTATCTTTAGTTTCTTCAAATGTACTGTGAATAAGATGTTTAAAATTGAAAGAAGCGAATTATGACCATTTGTTTAATAATTTATTAAAACCATGCTAAGCCATATATAGGTTATTGTCAAAATTCCAGCAAACTCCAGACACAGAAAGCTACAAATAAGATTGGTGAACCATACACGATTAATTTAAATTTCATGAAAAATGGACAATAGAATACTCATTGTCAAGGGGAATAACACTACCATCACTGTCATAGCCAATCAAAACAAACGACCTTGATTTTACAGAATAAATTATGGCTCATACATACACATGACAAGAAGCTGACAAATTCTAAATCTTTATTTTGGCACACACACGTGCATATCCTTCGAAAAGAAAGATTTTGCCAGTGCATACATACATTGTACATCAAAAATAAATAATTATTTTGTAATAAATGAAAATTAATTATTATAATATGAATAAATTTTAGTAGATGTCAACAACTTAATGACAATCATAATTTAGTTTAGTTTCGATGTTTTCATTATTCTAAGGAATAATATTCTAAATGCAAGCCAATACTAGTAATTTGCGGCAGTAGTCAAGCAACTCGTGTGGAAAATTCTACTCTTTAGCTTTTACATGTTAAAGATGCGATCAATACATTTAGTCTTTACATGTTTACAACTTAATAATGCTTACATAACATCAGCAATAAACACAGTATTTACAAACCATCAACTGGCAGTTAAGGTGAAAATCTACACTAATCAAATATATTAATATTAGCAGGGCTTTGAGTTTCAAACACAATTAAATAATGAAGTCTGTCATAAACTGTTAATAATGGGCAAATGGCATGTTTCAAACAGCCAGTGTGCCACTACTGATTTAGACAAACAAAAGTCTTCCATACTAATATTATCTTCTTCATCTATTACTATAATATGGCCCATGTCATTTCCAAAATTAAATATATAGACCTTCAGAATTTATATTTTAATAGAAGACAAAAAAACAAATTGCACACAGAACTCAGACAATGGGAGTATCTTGTGCAAAAAAACACAAATAAATAAGCATCAGATAGCACATACCGTAGTATTCACTTAACAAAAATGAAAAGGAAGAGAACGTGCATTCAATGAACTAAATAAAAAAATAACACCACATAACATTTTAATTTAATTATACACGTTTTCGATGGTTTTTCCAAAGACTGATCTCAGATATTGGTTTATCCTTCCTCAAGGGAAATATTAATAGCACTATAAATATCTGAAACTATGGCAATGCCATCATTAATAATAACTTTCCTCTCGCTGTTCAGACAAGCAGTCATTGAATAATTCTTTTTAAAAGAGATACAAAAATAGTCAAGTTCACATATGACCAGTTTAAGGGCTTCATGAAAAAATTAATAATGCTTGAACCTTGAAATTTTCCTCACCAATTGTCCTTTTCCAATAATTTCTTTGTTAATTGGATAAAATAGACATAATTACCCGTATCCCACCGTTCTATATGAATTGATTTTTAAAAAAAATACAGAAATTTTTTTTTTTTGCGAAAGATGACTAAAGTCAACTTGTTCAAATGGTTCACTTGACCGAGCAGAACAAAAAACAAAAATGGTAATCATTTAATAAACATCATTATCATTATTCACAGCTATGTTCTTTGCTACTTTCTGTACCCTTGCAGTAATTTCATGATACTAGTAAATCAATTTACTATTACAACATACACAAACATAACAATGAAAGACTCACAAATTGTAAAGATGAAAGCATTTTATAAATGACCGATAGTGATCTATGACGCAGGATAATGATTCTCTTCTTGGTGAATTCAATGCAGTAAATAACCCCACTGTTCATTGTATATTTTAGAATTCATTGTTCAATGTATATTCTAGGATTCACACTGAATATCGAGAAAATTTTGTTTACACTTGAATAATAAACAGTCTTATCAACTATTAAAAATATTGAAAATTAAATTTATTGAACTTTGTTAATTTATTTACTGATCTATCAATTGTGAGAAATATGTCTAAACAAAAATTAATTTGTTAAAATAAGTTATCAAATTTGGTTAGTAAATTGGAATTCAGCCAAACAATGGCGTATGGTATCCAAAAATTTAGAATAAGCAAGCACAACATGATTCATAATGTAGTCACCGTACTACAGATTGCACTTGCCAAGTATGCAAATCATTTTAAATATATATTCATTTTAAATAAACTGAACTGTTAACATGATACATATTGATTTTGAGAATTGATTTTTTTGCTAAATATACATTGTATTATCAGTATCAATGCATGCTTATAAAAATTCTTGAAGCTTAAAAGCGTTGCTTTGGCGATCATCCACAGGATAATTCTATAATTGCTGTGAAAGAGCACCGAAATATCAAGTGTTGACTCCCGCACAGAAGACCTATGAATTTGATCATATATGTTTGATAATATCTCTAGGGACATCATTCAAATTAACACTTGTAGCTGCTTTCAACCATGAACTTAGCATGTAACAACACGTTTCATCGGCCAAAAATATTACATCTATTCACCATAATTCTTTGTTAGACTTTGCTAAAATACAACGCAAGTAATGATTTCTTTTTGACAAAAACATCTTGTGCAAATCTTTACTACAAAAATTGCAGGTTAATAATGCTTGCTTGGTAATTTTATTATAATTTTCATATAGCCTATGCAAAATCATACAGTTCAGCTAACTCATAATAAACATAGAATAGGAACACAAAAGTTATTTTGCTTGAAAGACAATGCAAGGTCGGTCATTATTATAGCAACAAAGACGAGACGGCATTTAAACTTGTTATTTTCTGTATGCCAACAAGCGAAAACTATACATTATTATACCAACATTGCTAAAACAGCAAGTACACGAAGTCGACTTCAGAATTCAGATAAAAACACTGATTAATTTCACTCATATTGCCTATGTTATTGTTCTGCTGGTCAATATTCAAGTGGACATGTTTGACGTATTGTTTGGTGAGGTATTAAAATTTATTGTTCGTCCCCGGAACCATTATTTCGAAAAGTCTTTGCGAAATAAATTACTATAATGCATTATCAAGAAATTTTTAAAACTTGCGGCATGAGACCAGCGGCATAAACAGATATAGTTACCGGCGCGGCAGTACCGACAAATTTGCCGATTTACGTTTAATTTACAACACAGTTTCTGCGCGAGGTGTACGACTCGTCGCTTGGCCAGACACAATGCAAACCAAATGACTACATTGGAACGACACAACACGGCAGACAAGGTAAATAATCGGCAATAGCAGTACAAATTTAACAACAGAGAAAATGTTGATACGTACTTTCTGTACATCTTATTAGTTTGAGAACATCGTCAGGCGAGACGTCTTTTTTCTCGAGCAGATCTTCTTCTGTAATGGTTTGTTTCTTTTCCCTGACTTTCCTCCCGAGAAAACCACCTCCCTTCTTTTTTTCTGAGCCACTCTTCTTGTCCGGCGATTTTGTACTCATGGTAAATGAACGTCTCTGTAAAAATAACTAACTAAGACCTCCCTGCCAGAAATAATTAGAAATTTTGACAGCAAACTTCGTCAGTGGTAGTCCTAAAACTGTAGAATGTTCAGCAAAACCAAGATGGACGACGCTAGTCCCATTGAATTCTGGGTACTCCAGGACGTCTCCAGGCTCCCTAACCAGGTAAAAATAGTCAGTACCCACTATGTCAGTGATTTTGTTGAAAAACTTTCTTCATCTGAACATCGCCGGTATTAGTCTACGCACAGTCCCTCTATCCTCAAAAAACTAATAGTTGTCTGAGCTCTTTCGTAGATACAACGATAGATATAGGGACTATGGTATGCGCTACTGCCTCTTTCTCCAGACTGCGGACTTCTGTGTTAGTTTTACGAGAAAACTTTATCTTAAAATTAATTGGCTTAGATACAACGTTTACCTGACCAATCCAATCAGATACATTCATTTCTCGAGGCAACAGTCGGCTAAGATGGAATACTCGACTGTTGTGCCAAAAAGTGAATTGTAAACGGTACGTACTCATAGTAGGCGCTACTAGTGTACGGGTCTGTGAACACAAATAATATACTAACACTTGTTCAGTCATCATTTTGGAAAAAGCGCTGGAAAACAACAATTTGCATAGTTTTTATACCATCTTCCCAGTTTCCAGGGTCCAGGTCGACCTCTTGGACAATATTTCTAAATCTCAAAACAAGTTTTGAGTTATCAAATTTTGTTTTCTTCAAATAAGTTCAGGTTGATCCCCTATACATATCAAGGATTATCCGAGTAAATATCCTAAGTTATATCTACTACGTTCACGCATGGAGGTAATAATTACCTCCATGGACTGACTCAGCTCGTGCCGAAATCACGCCCTCATTCGCCCATCTGTTATTTGGCCCAAACATGGAAAATGATACACATATGATGATAATAATAATTGCACATAAGATTCGAAAACATTTTCACGTCAATGTAGCATTGCAAGAAAATAGCGGTTGCAGCAGCACATAAATATGCGTCGCTGACGACGGTTTACATTCATTTCTACAGCATCCGATCATATATATCTGCATTTCCCTTCATCGTCATTTCATAAGTATGAATCGGCGTATGTTTTCTTAAATTTACCACCGAGGGCGTGATTTTGGCGCGTGCCGAGCGTTCACGCAGCAAATCTCGGCACGTGCCGACTCGTTCCCGACCGTTAACACACAAGTTTCCGCACGTGCCGAGATCTCTAATGTCTACAAAAGTTAGACATCTCTCTTTGGGTAACTATTGGGGAAGATCGTTTTTCTCCGATATTATCGGATAATTATCGTCTAATGAAATATAATGAAATGTTAGCATAGATGTCTAACTTGGACATTATTAGATTAATATCGATAATATCGGAGAAAAACAAACTACCTTAATAGTTACTCAAAGAGAGATGCCTAACTCAGACATTATTAGACGATAATATCGATATTATCAATAATATCGGAGAAAACGAGCTGCCGCAATAGTTGCCCAGACAGACCTGTCTAACTTAGACATTTTTAGACGATAATATCGGATAACGTTAACAAGTGAAATGTCGAGCATTCCTCCTAAAATATGTTTGGATATTTAGAGTCGTAACAAATTCCCACTTCTGGTCCGGTTAGACTTAACATACACCACGAGTATTCACTTTTGAGATATAATTTTTGCTATGTGTTGATTCTTGGATATTTCAGCTTCGTCGTGCTGCACTTCGTTCAGTAATTTGAACTTCCCAGATTGTGTAAAAACGGATAGTTTCGCAATTTTGACACGGGAAAATACTTAGGCTAAATTATTTGCTGAGGGACGGCCGCTTAGGGATGTGCACTCTTACTTGCAGCACATGAACCTTAAAGCGTTAGGCAATCAAACAAATAATGACTTTGTACTAAAGTACATAAAGTACGTTCAAGGTCTTCACTTTTTCATAGCTTAAAAACGAATTTACCCTTTTGCTTAAATACATCAAATGAATTGGTAAGGGGGGCAGCAATTATGAACAACAATTAAACAGCAAAATGATACAGTGCCATAACTACACTGTTAACTGAAATAAACCAACCACAAATTATCGAAACAACAAATATACTAAATGACAGACTGAGAAAACAAGAAAATAAGTTTGGAAGTTGAAAATGGTTTGACCCAACTGGGTCCAACTAATCGCGTAACGCTCTCCAGGCGCGCATAACAAACCAGTCAGTAGCTTAGATGGCAATGTTGTTGTTCGGAACAATATGGCGGTGCACATTTACAGAGAAGCACTCTTAGATGTATTTTTTTCTTTGGAAAGAGAAGTCTTGAATAACTTGTAAGAATCTAACTTTCAGTGAACTTTGATATATAATTAACTTCAACCTCTTCGATTTTTCCAGACTACCCATACCAAATGAAAACAATAAGCTTTCAACTTGTAAAGCCCAACTGTTTCTGCTGTGTGAAACTGAAATTTATAGCACCCGTAGACAAATTTGGATTGTATGTAATGATATCGGCACATACCTTATATCGGCACATATCGGTACACTTTCTTACGTAATCCACCTGAGGGCGTAACACGTAATGGTAAAATTTAAGACGAGCTTTCTCGATGTCCATTGCTTGGAGCAAGTTTATTGTATTGTGATTATACACGGTAACTTTAGCAGCAATTTTACCCTTTTATGTACTGGTATATATATAATTGTCTTCCAATCAAGTGAAATTACCTGTAGAAACTTACCAAAGAGACAAGGGGTTCCTTTTTGACATTTTCAGAAAGAGGCCGTATTTTTGATTTATTGCAGGTAGTAATTATAGGTCTATTTAACCATGCAATTAGGGGTGGGTTTTTCTTGTTAATTTGTTTCAAGGGGTGTTTTGAGGAATTTGCTCCCTGGATTTTGATTTTCACCAAAAGTTGGTGCCTCGCATATAAATAATAAGTGACCACGCTTCGAATTATGTACAACCAATGTTTCGGTCAGTGAAGGCATCATGTTAGGACACAGTCCCTCCACAAAAGTTGGAGGGACTGTGGTTAGAATTTATTCACTGGATGCAAGATGCATGGCTCATTAAGGTTGTAGCTGTGGTTTGATTGGTGAATGAGACTCATCATTTTCATTGGAAAGAAAAGATTGTTGGTATGGTTTGGTTTTGTTGGTGAATGGTTGGTGTGGTCGTTTACTAGGTGAATAGTTGTTTTTATTGGTAAATGTTACAGTCGTGGTTTCATTGACAGGTGAAGGTTGTTGGCATGG